ACACACACACACACACACACACACACACACACACACACACACTAACTATACTGATTTAAGCAGATTGTCTGATTCTGTACAAACAATTCAATAATTCTTATTTTCTTCACAATAATCTGCTAAATTACAAATTGGATTAGAGTTTAGGCCATTCTCTGATAGGAAGAGGAGAGATTAAGCAGTGCTACACGTGACCTGTTAGAACCTCAATTCATTTCAATACAGATGCAGAATCTGTAATTAATCACCGATGTCTGTATGTTATGAGTGACAGCGAGCAGCGCGGCTTAAAACCGCAGAACACTACAGGACGAGAGAACATACGATCAGACCTCATTCACATCACATACACATCCTCCAGAGCTGGTTTCTGAGTTTCTCCAGTCTGTCTCTATAATAAGCCCTCTTGCAGTCTCACATTGTGGGAACAGCTCTGCTATCAAATGATTCAGTCTGTAGTTTTACCGCGGCGAGTGGGCCGACGGAGCTGGATGTAGATGTTTACAGTGACGGACAAGAGCGCGTTCCCTCCTACTGAGCAAAATAAACACCGTAAACAGCAGCGAGACTCTCACGAGCCCGGACTGACTGACTGAATACGGCAGGAAACCCCAGACACTGACAGAGAAATTACACTCTAGACACGAGAGGGAGTGAGAGTTTAGTTTAGCTTCAGTTTTAACTGCTGTACAGCAAAAGAAATGCATTATAATGAGACTAAAGCTGTTCCTGATTCAAGTAATATTGATTTCACAGAGACAGCATCAGTAGTATGGAGTAGTATGCAGTTCTAAACTTCTCACCGATGCGGTCCAAGCGGTCCAGAGCAACGGTTTCAAACGCTCTCCTCATCATGGGATACTCCTCCAGGACCTCGTTGAAGTTGTCCACAGACAGCGAGTACAGACGGCAGTACGTCTCGGCTCGGACGCTGGCAGTGCGTCTACCTCGAGTCAGCAGACAGATCTCTGAATGAGAGAAGATACAAACTCATCAGTGTTGAGAATGAAAATCAGAACTGAGATCAGAATCTCAAAAAAACAAAAAAACAAAAAACAATTTAATTAAAGGTAAAATGCATTTAATCTGTGTTTATTTATAAAATAAATATAATATATTTTGCATTTATTATAACATGTATTATTATCATTTGCATTTATAATTATACTACATTGCATTTATAAATATTTCAGTATTAAGACTATTTTTGTTTTTAGGTTAGAAATGCAAATGATAATAAATAATAAATTATTATAAATGTATTTAATATAATCATTTCTTATTATTTGCATTTATAATTATACTAAATTGCATTTATAAAATGCATTTATAAGCATTTCATATTGGCAGAGTTGTAAGAATAAAGCTATTAACGCAAATTTTAATAAATAATAAATTATTATGAATGCATTTGGTCACATTTTATTTTGGGGACCAATTCTATCTATTAATTAACAATTAACTGCAACTTTTTCCACAATAAACTCCTAATTTGCTGCTTATAAGACATTAATATGTGCTTTATAAGTACAGCCAATGTACTAGTAATATGCATGCTAGTTAATAGTGAGAATTGGTCCCTCAACTAAAGTGTTACCATGCATTTATTATGAAAATTATTTGTTATTATTTGCATTTATAATTATAATACATGGCATTGATAAGCATTTTATACTGGCAGAGTTGTAAGAATATATATATTTTTTAAGGTTATAAATGCAAATTATAATAAATAATACATTATTATAAATGCATTTATAAGCATTTCATACTGTCAAAGTTGTTATAATATATTTTATTCTTTAGGTTTTAAATGAAAATTATAATAATTAATTATAAATGCATTTATGATAATTTATTATTTATTACTAGCTTTTATAATTATAATAAACAGCATTTATAAAATTTATAAACAATCAGGCTGGCAATCTGACTTTTTTCTTTTCTTAAGGTTAATACTGCAAACTATAATAAATACTATATTATTATAAATTATATTATATTTGCATTTATAAGCATTTCATACAGGAAAGGTTGTGAAAATATAGTTTTTCTTCAGACTTTTTTTTATTCAAGAAGACAACGTAAATTGTAATACTTCACATAGATTTTGAAGTTACTGAATCTGAAATGGATTTACTGTATGTAAACACATGTATCTATCAACACAAACGATACTCTCAGCTCATCACACACACACACACACACACACACACACACACGATTCCTGCATTAAAACTGCACGACACCACTGACAACCACGTCAAATCCTGAGCTTCAACAACACCACTGTTTAGCATGAACATGGAAAACACAATCTGTATAAACCAGAAAACACACACTTCCGATCACATTCTCTCTCCAAACAGATCCAGAGCTGATCACGCTGACTTTCTATCAAGGAAAACACAAAACAACAATCCTTCCTCCTTTTTGGGATTAAAACTGTCCTGTAATCCACAGCTGAAGCACTAAATGCCACTCAGAGCTTAGAGGACTGGCAGACCTCATATGTCACGGAGGATCAGCAGAATTACGCCCCATTTATCGGGGTGCAGAGCTGGCAACACCACCCTCTGCTGCCCTCCGGACAAGAGCAAAACCTCTGTCTGCTCACTGGCTGCTAAACAACCACTACCCACAATCCCCTCTGCTTCTTAGGGGCCATTTACACGACAACGTTTTCAGCCAAAAACTGGAAACTTTTTATGCGTTTTGACTGTTCGTTTACACGACAACGGCGTTTTGAGCACAGAAAACGCATATTTTTGAAAACGGGTTTGAAAATGCCACCGTTATCGTTTCCGTGTAAACACCCAAAACGGGAAACTTTGAAAACGGTGACGTCATGCGCATGCGTAGTGCGTGTTAGATATGTAGACATGCGCAGTACGTGTCGATTTTAAAGGCAAGCGCGAGCAAACATACACAACAATGGCGTAGTACATGGTACTGTTGTTGCTGTTTAAGAGTTTGCTAACGCTTCTTCAGGAAAGTGTGGATTTACTTCACCAATATTACAACCAACAGCGGAGACGCATCATATACAACATATAATCGTCACTTCCCTACAGGTACTGTTTACTAACAAGGTGACAGCGCCAACTACTGGCCTGGCATACGTAATACAGCGTTTTTGGCCGTTTTCGCGGATATGTGTAAACGCGAATCGTTTTGAAAATGTTGTCGTGTATACGTGAATCTTTTTAAAAAACGCAAGGGAAAAACTTTTCCGTTTTTGACTACATCGTTGTCGTGTAAACGTAGCCTTAGGTGCCAAACATCAATATAAGGGACGGGGGAAGAAATCAATCTAGACGCCATGCGATTCCTTTCGAGGTCGATTCTGGTTCGACCCACAGAAAGTCAATATTAGAATTGTAGATTTATTACTAATAATTAGTGCTGTCAATCGATTAAAACAATTAACTAATTAATCGCACATTTTTTTTCTGAAATTAATCACGATTAATCCCACCTAACATTAAAGTTTTTAAATATACTTTTATATTGCAATAATTACACATTCAATCTTCAAATTAACGTAGAAACAACATATATTTTTGAAATTTACAGTATATTTTTTAAATATTTGTTTAGTGGCATCTTTTTATGTCTGAAGGTGAGTATCACTGATACCAATATTACTGAAGTCTCTAGGAAATAGTTTTTTCCCCTCATATTTAACCACTGACTATAGCCATTCAACATTACAGAATAGTTATAATTGAGAGCTATCAATTTTAATTTTTTTATTAGACTTTAAAAAATAACTTCTAGTGAACTTCACACAATCTTCACATAAACCCATTATAATAAATATCATATTTAGCTACCTGTGCCCTTCAGCAAGTAGGAAATATACAGAAATGTAATAGCCATCAAACGCTAAATTCTAAATGAAATATAGATGAATCCTTAAAGCTCTTTTTATTTTGTTGTTTGATGAACAGCATCACAGCAGCTGGTTATGAGGTTATTTTGGCTGCTTTAAGAGCTGCCGCTGCTGAACATGACGCGGATCTGACACGCATCATAGTTTCTCATAACTCTTTACCTTTTCTGACTCACTTCAGCTCTTAAAGTCTCTATAATGAGCTGAGGAGTTGAATCGGGTGTGTGAGATGAGGGAGACAGTGCTGCTGCTCCAGGACAGTTTGGAAAACCACTGCATTTCAGGGACATGTTCTTAAATCTGACTCATATATAACAAATACTTACATGCATGCACAATTTTAAGGCAGCTTTAATCGCATTTTTTTGGTAACTTCATGACTTAACTGACGACATAACTACAACATTGAATGCTTGTAGTTTCTGTTGTGCTTTAATATGTTATAGTGCTTTAATATAATACATAATATAATACAGCGAGCGCTGCCGTATTTGTGCATGCAATTGAAGAGCACGCACTACGAGCACAGAATAACGGCTGACAGGACAGGAAAATTGTTTTTTACTGACATACGGCCTGACAGCATCTCATCTGAGAGCAGTTTACTGTTGTTCTACTGAAGCTCCTCATCGCCTGTAGCTTTTCCGCTCGTTTGACTCGCGCCTGGCGCTGAGGTGAAGTTGGAGTGCGCGTTTGAAAGTCTCCCGTTTGATGTGGTCGTAAAGACGTTCTGCGTCTAAATAAACGCAATTCTTGTCAAGAAAAAAACAGACAGAAGCAGCAGTTGTTAAGGGTTGCCAACCCTAGCTCCGCCCCTGCGTTAATTGCGTTAAACTGAAAAAATTAATCGCATGTGTTAACACTCTAATTTTGACAGCACTACTAATAATTCAAAGCACATGCAGAAGCACCGTACAAAGCATCGAGAATCACTTAGCGATTGTGACTCCTTGAATCCGAATCAAATCGTAACATTCGCAGCACTAATCAATGCATGAGCTGCATTCAGAGTCAGTTTTCTTATTGTATGATGACTATTGACTTGTTTGTATTTGTCTCCTGAGTAATATTTTCCTGGCATTGTGGCATTGGAATGACATCTCGGCTGGACACACAGAAGTGAAGCCGGATTTGTTCCAGAATGATTTTGTGATCTAACACTGACCTCCGTTTAGCTCATGGCAGCGTTTCTATTAGCGTGATGCGTTCAACAGCTGATCTCTGACTCATCAAAATAAAACGACATCAATGTCCAGCAGGAAATCCGGCCGGAATAATCAGATGGAATACCGGGATTGTTTACCATGATGGAGAAGAGTGTGCGTGTGAGTCAGGATTATGTTAAAGGGACAGTTCACCCAAAAATTCTGTCATGATTTACTAACCATCATGTCGTTCCAAACCCGTATGAGTTTCTTTCTTCTGTTGAACACAAAAGCAGATATTTTCAAGAATGTTGATAATCAAACAGTTGCCGGTAGCCATTGACTTCTCTAGTATGGAAAAAAATGGCTACGGCAACTGTTTGGAATTTTAATGTTTGGGTGAACTATCCCTTTAACTGTACGGTACAACCGTGTTTTTTAAATACTAAGTGGATCTGTTCTGGAACGTTGCTTGTGTATATTTAATTACAATCTAAACATCACAAACACTTCACAGCCAGGAAGATATTGAACATAATCTCAAAACTGCCAAACATTGGTTGATTAATAGAGCAAATCACAACTTGTATACCATAATATATACATGTTATTCCGGGGAACTTAAAAAAATACCATGAAACAACAACGACAGCATGGTACCATGGCAGTATAGATATAATGCTATAATTATTTTTGCTGCAATTCAACAACAAAAAAGGGTTTAGATATTAAGACTTTGAACTGTAATGCTATTTCTAATGTCCTGACATTTCTGCATAATTCCACGGGTTTTAAAGGACAGGAACATTAGGACTTAAAAACGAACAAATAAGCCAGAATAAATACACCAAGTGAGCCAGAAAAAAAAACACACAAAAATGAATCAGTGAACCTGTGCGACACTCTCCCTGTAAAGAACTCTCAACAT